GTAGAGGGGGCAAGGGACCTGAGATGATGAGTCTAACAAGCCTGACTGTGCATTTTTTATTTTAATCTGTAAATAATAATAATAATTATAATAATAATAATAAACAAGCCATGTGAAATTATAAAGTAATGTTTGAAGGTGGCTCGACTACATGATTTTATTTCTCATTTTTCCTTGCCGGAAGACGTACCCAGTCGAGCAATGGTGCACACGGTGGACAAGAATAGCCATCGGCTGGTCCCGGTATGACATGGAATGGTCATCGTTTGGTCCCGGTATGACACGGAATGGTCATCGGCTGGTCCCGGTATGACACGGAATGGTCATCGTTTGGTCCCGGTATGACACGAATGGCCATCGGCTGGTCCCGGTAAGACACGGAATGGTCATCGGTTGGTCCCGGTATGACACGGAATGGTCATCGGTTGGTCCCGGTATGACACGAATTGTAATCGGCTAGTCTCGGTATGACACGAATGGCAATCGGCTGGACCCGGTATGACACGGAATGGTCATCGGTTGGTCCCGGTATGACACGAATTGTGATCGGCTGGTCCCGGTATGACACAAATGGTCATCGGTTGGTCCCGGTATGACACGAATTGTGATCGGCTGGTCCCGGTATGACACAAATGATCATCGGTTGGTCCCGGTATGACACGGAATGGTCGTCGGTTGGGCCCGGTATAACACGAATGGTCATCGGTTGGTCCCGGTATGACACTATCGGATCCGGACATTGGCTAGTCCCAACATGACAGAAGCGGCATTGAACGCTCCGCGAACAACATATTTCTTTCAAAATATTAAGTATCCAAATCAGATTTTGCAACAAACGTTTCCATTTAACAATTGTGTTGTACCTAGTTAATACACTAATTGTTCAGCATTTCATTGTGAAACTCGGTGTGTACCAAGTAGCAGAATGTCTCCAAAGTATTATACTAAATATCTATCATACTTATTTTTAATGCAATTTCACTTAAATATATTATCATTTTTATCTCATTAAAACAGATTAATTATTCTATAATGTTCAATGTAGCCACTTTTGTGACATAATATAATACTGATATGTTTCCAAAAAAGGTTTTGTCATCACATTCATACACCCTTCTTTCACGAATAACATGATTTTTATGTTGTATTTTAGAAAGAGAAAATGTCTCAATTACGATAATTACAAAACGCTGTTCAGTTTTCACGTGGATTTGGAGTTTAGACTACAAATAGAAGGGATCAGTGAGCGAAGTCCCAAAGCAATTCTATAAGCACTGTTTAAGAGACGTACGTAGTAATGGCCGGCATTGTATGGCCTTCCTAAAGTGCTGTGAGTGAGTGTCGTTTTACACCGCTTTTAGCACTTTTCCAGCAATACCACGGCGGGGGACACAAGAAATGGGCTTCACACATTGTACCCATGTCGGTAATCGAACCCGGGTCTTCGGCGTGACGAGCGAACGCTTTAATCACTTGGCTACCCGACCGCCCCCTAAAGTGCTGTGAGGATGCTAGCGAGTTAGTGATAGTTCACGTTGCTGAATGCGGAAGTCCTCAATATCCCTGATATGCCACCGCGAACTGTAACTATTCAAATCTGGGCCTTACAATCCAGTCGCTGAAGCAGCAAGCCACGCTATCGGGCCATGACGCAACACAGTCAAACCCGACTACCCATCCGTCTCAGCACGGGCATGGACGTTTCAAACAGAACGGTAAGAACGTTACAATTTCACGCCAAAGACCTTTGATAGTGGGTTAATATCGGTTCGCCTCGATTATGTTTCTAGGTTTGCTAGCACCGTACTCCTGCTCGTGGGTTTCTCCAAGGCGGTAAACGTCTGACCTGCATCACTTCGGGCTTTCATCCAACACCAGCTGATACGCCGTGATATAACAGAAATACTGTTCAAAGCGTCGTCAAACCCAGCTCACTCCAACATGTGGTGCGTATGCCACGAGTTATTTCTAACCAGAACAGATACATTACAGTTTAGTAATGACTCTCCGGCAACGACAATCTTTAGGGAAGGACACTATCACTTGTATCAATTCAGATCTGTATTTTGAGTTGGTATTTGATTTATTACCTCAGATTGTATTTTGATTGACTCATGCACATGACAAATACAAGATGAATCAATCAATAAAATTTGGAACTCAATCAGTCGACAGCCAGTGTGTGCCTGTTAAAAGATGGTTACTATGATGAGCTTAAACAAGGACGCAATACTCCGACCCTTACAAATCAAAGCACATTTATCATGCGATAATCTCGCGCGCCATGAACACATGATCATGCTACCTTAGAGGTAGAATCCATCATCTTGATCGCTAAACGGTTAAACGTATAAACCCTTCCCTTTATACATGCTACATGCATGTACGTTGATGTAATTTCATTTGCATAAACTCTCCTATCAATAACGTCACATGCATGTACATAGGTGCAATTTCATTCAAATATTACTAAAATCTCTTCGACCGAGCATAATGCCACATGGACGATCCCTGCTGTAATATCCTTAAACATCCCATCTTTTCAAAGCAGAGACGCCGCTTCCGCATCACATTGTCCCATGCCATCCGTCTCGTATAACATCACGTGCCAAATAAACATCATCATTTTGTTATTCTGCAATAAGAATGAGACAAATCCATGTCTTATTTACTAATTGCGATGATGACAAAATCCGGTTTAGTTTTAGCATTGCTTTGTAGTTAGACAAAGCTTACCTTCCCGCTACAAACAGAAGGGCTCGTGATGAGGTCCCTTGTGTCTCTCGGGGTTCCACCAGCACTGCATAAAGAGACGGGGCCAAGAGGGATTAGGATTGGATTGAATAATGAAATAGAGATCAGCTGTGCTGACTACAAACCGCTGAGGTGTCCATATGGTAATACCAGTCTCCAGTTAATCACACAATGGTACCCTTCCCTGTTTAGCATTAGAGTAAACCAAATACGAAATGACCATGTTTGTGTTTATTCAAACAACTCCCATGACATCGATGGGCTACATTATAAGTCTCGCATATTTCAGGACAGACGGTAAAGGATTATGGATATTATTTCCATGCGGCCAAGGCGACCAGTGAGAACGCCTCCTCTGTTTCATATTTAGATCTGTGCGTAAAGATTCCGAGTGAAAAACACTCTCCACAAGATTGTACGACCAGAAGGATGACTTCAACTTTCCAGTAGTCAAATGTCCATTTATATCGAGCAATATTCCTGCAGCTCCAGGTACAGTCGAGCGTGCTCTCCAAAAGCGTTATACGACACTTGCTCAGAAGATGTAATGGTCGCAGTTTCTACGCTCTTCAAAACAAATGATATTCTACAGAAAACAAGAATGTCCACGATGCAAACACAATTCCAGTATGGATATTTCAAGGTTCTGATTTGATTTATGAAATCACTTTTTCATTAGAGTTCCTACTTTATTGGAAATAACTTAAAACTTTCCATATCATTACAATATGCTGTGAGTTTGAGGATGATCAGAGCTCACGTAGCAGCCGAGTTCGGAGGCTTCCACCCTGATCGGCCACCAATGACTGAGGTGGAGGAAACAATCTAAAACAACCGGCCACGCGACAGTCAGGATAAAGCAATCTATGACGAAGTCAAGCGTAAGCTGGGACACAAAGACAAAGAGTCTTTCCAACTATCTTTGATTGAGATATACAAGAGCTGAGAAGTTGTTTGCTCAGGGTTACTCGAGGCCTCAGTAAAACTTTCAAAAACGTTTTTATGGTTGACAATAATGATGTCCGATTGAATTCTTCATTTTGACTTGACTGTCGAAAGTGCGACAACAGGAGTTAATAAACACATGCTCATGAGGTAGTCGAACTCGAACAGAGCTTTCTTAAGAATATGGAAAGGGTTATGTTACTTTTATTTTCCTGTTACCCTGTCCCACCGGTGTCATATACATGCGCAAATATAAGTCAACTGTTCCCAAATATTTGTTTCTTGTTTGACGCCGCAACCAGCAATATTCAATCTATATGACAGCTGTCTGCAAATAATCGAGTCTTGACCCGATAATCCATTGATTGAAATGATGAGCATCGATCTACGTATTTGGGATACGATTATACGCATCAACCAAGTCAGCGAGCCCGACCACCCGATCCCGTTAGTCGCCTTTTACGACATGCATGGGCTGCTGAAGACCAAAAACTTAATGTTTTCAGAACGTTGCAAGGCTGAGGTAAGGCCAACATGAGGTCCAATATCGCCTGTGGCACTCGCGGAAACACTGCCAACTTGAGGTCCAATATCGACTGTGGCACTCGCAGAAACACTGCCAACATGAGGTCCAATATCGCCTATGGCACTCGCAGAAACACTGCCAACTTGAGGTCCAATATCGCCTGCGGCACTCGCGGAAACACTGCCAACTTGAGGTCCTAAATCGCCTATGGTACCCGTGACTACATTTATTTTAGATTTGGCCACCATCAGTGTGTATTTTCCCTTGTGGCTGGCAGTTGGGTTTCAGTACATAATCTCTAAGTAACAAGTTACTACCTCTTATGTAATTCTATTATTCAATTATACTCTCTCTTGATCTATAGCATCACAGTGGATTTGGACTGTAGACTGTCGCGCCTGTTTCTCGCTATTACATCAGAGATCCGTCGACCGTGTGTTCACACGTACTGTTTATTACCCTGATGTGTTTCGATGGTCTCCTCCAATTAGTAAGACAACCCAGTTGTGAGACACCTTAAAATAACAATGTCATACCTGATTGCACATGTTAATCAAGTAATTAACCCCTATCATGAAAATGGACTTGTCTTATTATAGACAAAAGAAATGACTCAAGATGTTTGATACCCTCTTTTACTTTATTTAATTCAACATTTTAATTCATCCATCCCTTAAAATCCATTGTTTTAACATATTCGCCACTTAGAGTTCAGTTAAAGTTAATATCACAGTTCACATCACAGTTCACGTCGAGGTTGTCACACGACACAACCTTAATCCATCTTCAGAAGTTTGCCAACAGCATACAAGAACTGGAGGGGTGTCTTGACACCCTGGGATAGCTGATCCTTCAGTCTGGAAAGTCGATTGTCAATCTCCTTGTACACACGCTTTCTTGCTGGTGGAGCTGCACCTAGGTCTAACTGAGATAGCTTGGTCTTCTCAGATTTCTCAATCTTCTTGATGATCTCGATGAACCTGTAGAGATTAGGATGACGATGATTCAGTGATGCATTGAGGCGACTGTGGAAACCCTCCAGGTTGTTGTTGGTCCTTGGGCCGAATGTCTGGTGATGGTTCCACAGTGAAAGAGGGAATCTGGCTTCATAATCCACCCAGTTTGTGACTATGTAGTCGTTGAATTCGTCAGCATTGGGTACATCGGGAGACTGGTTCATGGAGTCAATCCATGCATCCTGAACCTGTTGAAGAGGCAGCAGAGGCAAGGCAGCAGCTCGTCGGATCCACTGTTCCACAAGGGGGTTATCTCTGTATCCAACAGCAAGACCAAGCTCCTGTGTTTTCCGCCAAATCGCCTGGGTAAAGTGGAAGAAACACCCCTTGATGTCTGAACCTTGAAACTCTGTCCGGAGGGCTCTAATGGCAGCAACTTCAAAGTCCACCTGGAATATCTCTGGGTTGAATGGTTGGTTCAGTAGATGTTGGATGTGGACCTTCAACTGAGCAAAGAGGCGTTGGTAAGTTGTAGTCCGACGATCAGGTATCAATGCGTAGACTAGGGGATAGGTAATGCTTCCTATCCGTGCATGCAGTATGTAAAGCTGATTCCAAAGATCTGGGCAGGCGGAGAAAGTACCATCCATGTAGACAATGGAAGCTGACTGGAGGACTCTAAGCTGATCATCAGTTGCAAGTACCAGCATCTTGTCTTCTTCACCGTCGGCAAAAAGCAGAAACCGCTCACCATCATTGGTCTCTCTCCAGGGTGCTGCAATGTCGACTGAACGAGGACCTCGAGAGTACCTCTTTGACTGGTAATGAACTCAACCTGCTGCGAACCTGCCATGATTGTGCATGGAATGTTCACAGACTAGGGGAATTTATATGTGTAATGAGTAAGTTTTAACAAAACATGCATCTCAACTTTTTGAGTAAGCTCCTACTAGCTCCTAACTCATTTATTTCCTGAGAATATTCAAACAGAATTACTGGCCTACACGTATTAATTAATCCGCTAATCATGGGCTGTGACCATTGTTAAGTGGGTAGACTGGCTGTGTTTGTTTAATTAATTCCACCTACTCCACTGTCTTACAATGGGTGTCTCACTAATGGGATGTCTTACTAATGGGATGTAACCGTTTCGATACCATTGATGACATATAGTAGAAATAACAAAAATGTATTACCCGAACCTTTGGCGCATAATAAGTTGTATTTATCGGGACAAGTCTTTATACATGTTTCAATTTACCTTAAAATGTACTGCGGTTAATACTATGAATATCTTTACGTGCTGTCATCACTTTTTTCAGTGATCCACTTTTCATCACTTTTTTTCAGTGATCCACTTTTCATCATTATTTTGTCCTTTACGCCCTGTGTAATCTGTAGCAGTAGGCATTCAAGACTGCGTATTTTCGGACGTTGACGTTAAGTATTTACGATTTGCAATCATAGTGATTGTAATGCAAGGCAAACGTGCTGACGTATATATGGGCAAAACCGCAGAGAGACTTGTTTATAGTTCTACTCCTAAGAATAACGAAGTTAAACCGTTTAACAGTTTTGTTGGCGAACTGCGCCGCCAGAAACAACAAAAACCCTCATTGAAATGAACTTCGACTTCGGCATTGACGTTTTCTTTAGCAGGCAAAAAGAAAAAGGCGTTAAATGTGGTTAACATTGACAGATAAATACTTGATGGAATACCATTCTGGGTTTGTAAATGTGTTGAGATGAATATCCTGTTCATCAATAAGTTTGCCGGCTAATGTTTCGTTAATGGAAATGTATGTATCTGGTGTCACGGAATTCTTTTCTTCCGAACCTTTTTATTACCATTTTACACTCTACGTGAGCTTCCCAAGTCCACAACGGTCTTCATTGGTGGAGAGAAATTGCATTCTGCCAGATGAATAGGCATTTATCTTGATCACAGATTCGGCTAAATACTTGGGAATCGTTAAGACATAAATTAAAGTAAAATATCTAATGGAGAGTATCTGAGTTAAATTCGTGAGCTATTCCTAAATGGTGAAGTAGAAACGACCATCTGTCAACTTTAAAACCAATAAACTCGCAGTTTATTTATCCGTTCGGATTGATCATAATGTTTACGAAGCGTAATGTGTGTGGAAATTAATTTCAAGTCCCTGGTTTGTGTCCTCTGTGAAATTGAATACACGTTTGCAAACATCCATTCGAGATTATGTTTGTTCTGATTAATGTTTGTTATACAGTGAAACACCGCTGTGTCGAAGGTGACGGGACCTACGTGAATACTTCGAATTATATGCGGGGGTAGCCATAGGACATTACTCGTTCAAGGGCAGGCAAGACGAGTCTTCGAATAATATTCGCCGATAAATAATCAATTAGCATTTCACCTTGGCTGCGATCATCACTTTCCAGTAGTCATCCTGAAGGACACAACAGTGCTTCCCGTCTTGCCTTCTGTTTGCGTATGCATTCGCGTCGACTTTTTAACTCGGATTGGCGAAATCAAAATAGGGAATTTGACGATTAAGAAGATTAACTTAACGTGAGGTATATCGATGATCTCATATCGTTCAGTAATGGTCAAATGGCCAATTCCATTCACCTGATTAACCCTCATAAACTAGAAGCAATGGAGACCAGTGAACAGCCTCTTTTGTTTTATAACTATATCCATGCATGAAGTTTCAGAGTGACGAAAAACTTTTTACACTTTGACCTTGTTCTGACGTTATAAAACTCCCTTTCATACATTGATAAAAAGTCCACGGCCTGTATAACGTTCCTCCAACTTAATCCATAAACGCAATTATTGTTCAAAACAGCGTTAAACCAAATATACTCCTAATCACCCATGACCTATGAATCATCACATTTTCAATGTAAATCCAATTTGGGGTCAGACATTGCCATCGAGGCGCGTTTACGAAATAACGGGAGTAACTGAGATACCACAGTCGGATTCTGAGAACTAAAAGAACTAACCAGTGGGAACAGGATACCGCATGTAAAGTACAGCTACCATATACACCCAACACAAGCATGTCACCTGATCACATCACTCATAGACATATACATCTGGAATGTATAAGTGGACGTATGGAAGATACTTCATTTTGCATTGTGCACTGTAGACTCCAGGGAGCTGAGACTTCAAACTAAAAGCATTCTGTGTGTAAAGAAAGGAGCACTTGTATTAGGTATAAAGGTATATTGAAAGCAGGATAGATATTTCTTATTATCATGGAAAACCAAAATAGTTATGTTGCTTTTATTTGCGTGATATATTGCTTGATTGAAATTCAAAGACATACCTGTATGCCCGCGCTCTCCATGCATTTGTAGTATGGTAGTCAATATATAAAATATACAAAATGTTCTTCAGGAGTGACAGACAGAAATAACAGTGTCTCTATTTTCTGTTGCTCTTTAAAATGCTTTTACAAGTCCTTTCTTCATCTGAAGACGAGTAATCGGTTTATTAGGAACATTGTCATCTCAACGTCACGTTGGGCGCCATTGTGTTGCTACCCCTATATCCAGAATGATGGGTTGGTGTCGATAGGCTCATTGTGAAGTGTGGACGCCACAAGTATAGCAGAGGACAGGACAAGTACAACATGAGCGTTGGATCACCTTACTTTCCTAACGATATCCATCTGCTTCAGCCTTGAACATTTCGCAAAGTAATGATATAAAAACGTTAATTATAACAATAATGTCCCCGTGATATCCTGACGAAATCGACCCGTGAAGATCCGGTGTAGAATAGGTCTTGCGCAACCCATTCTTGCTGTAAAAGGCGACTATGCTTGTCGAAGGAGGCGACTAACGAGATCGGATAGTCAGACTCGCTGACTTGGCTGATGCATGTCAACGTATCCCAATTGCGTGGATCGATGCTCACGATGTTAATCACTAGATCTGATCAAGGCTCGATTATTTACAGACCGCCGACATATCGCTGGAATATTGCTGTCGGGGCGTTAAACTACAAACCAAAAACCTGACGAAATCCCCATCTCCTTGTCAGACCTTACGTTGATGCCTTAAACAACGGCTTTGTTCCAATGGATTATACCGACCGCCCACCACGGGCGCCACGGAGGATCCACAGATGGAACCAGTATGGAAACCAATATGGATTGTCCGGCATCTTCTCAGGACTTCCGATCGAACGTCCTTGGGGTGGTCTCCGTGAACGTTTTAGCCATAGACCGGGAAATCCAGTCACGTTGCATGATCTGGTGGTGCCTAAGAGGGCGGATGGATTTGTATTCCTCAAACAGAGATACGGAACCTGTTGGTATGCTTCCACAGCGTTGTGAGAGTGATTAAAAACCGTGGAGGCTATACCCGATGCTGATTCGTTATTGTGTTTGAAAGGTCTTCCCAATCCTGTTGTCGCTAAGGTCATAATGGCACATGAACAGTACCGATGATAATTGTTGCTCTTTTCCGATGGCTTACAAATGTTGATAGTCATCCCCATCAAACACTGTTATAATGTAAGTAGTTATATAATCATTAATATTGACATTATGACTTATTAAATTAGAAACATAATCTACATATTGATATTAACGGTAATCTACATATTGATATTATTATTATTTTGTACAGATCAAAATAACAAATGCAGCAAAGAGGGTTTGGGTGATCCTGACACAGTCAGGTTGGTTAGGCTCATCATCTGCTCAGGGCCCTGTCCCCCTCTACACGCAGCCCAAACAGCGAATGGGACTTCCCTCAGGAAGCGCTGCCGAGTCAAACCCACCCAGGACTTTCACCATTTAAACGTAAATGTATTTTGTTAAAACATGTAAAATGTTGTTTGTAAAAAAACTATAAAGTGAGGGGTAGAAGTCACTATACCTCTCAGATGACTTTGTCATATGTTTGGTTTTCTAAATGTTTTAAATAATCGAAATGTACTTGCGCTTCGTAAGCACCCAAAGATATTTCTACTTGGTCTTATTTTTCCAGTATAATTTGAATTAAAACCTTTGATTATTAACAAAATGGCACATAATACACAACTGCTGACATCTTATATTTGAAAATCAATAAATGTACTTTTTTCGGTAGAAATTTATATATCAAACATAGTAGGTGTCATGCGGTTGCAAATTCACTTCCTATCAAAGTCTTCATTTAATCCATTTATTTTTACACAAAATACACAGCCACAGATGTTGCAGGAATGTGTGATGTTAAATAGACTAGATCAAATTTAACAACAGTTTGTTTTCAAATTTCAATTCGATGAAAAACAAACTTGGTATACTTTCTTCTATCTTTCAGTTTATATACTGAAAATTGAGTGGAGAGGAATGCTCAATGTTAAAGCTTATAACACTCACCGTTATTTTACATGTTGTATTTGTGACAAGAGTTGTGTTTGTGACAAGGGTTGTGTTTGTTACAAGAGTTGTGTTTGTGACAACTGTTTGTTCGTCACACATTGTGTCACGTATAAACCTGTGCGTACGTTAATGTCAACGACCTGTCTTCTGAATATCAAACCTACATCGTAAACAAATTACTCTACATTTTAAATTTCCATGGTAACAACATCACATATTTGACAAATAACGGAATTGGTATTCTCTGAAAACAGTACGTACTCGGATCAAAATTACACGTGAACAGTCCCTAATTAGTTTGTGTGATGGCCTCAAAACAATGAGTTGGTTTGTTAAGAGATTAACATTATTCCAGTTATATCACGGCCTGTCGGGTTAATGTGGGAGGAAAGCCCGAGGTGTTTCAGGTCTCAGACGTTTACGACTTCGGTGAAACCCTCGAGCACGGGTATGGAGCAGACAAACCTGAAAACATAACCAG